TGCGGAGGTGGGAGAGGCTCCCGCCACCCCCGCTGCACTCGCCAGCCGTGAGCCTGGCTTCTGGCTGAGTGGCGCTCCCCCTGTGGGTGCTCCCCTTTTGTTGAGCGTCTGCCCCCTGGTGGTTAGTGCACATCATAGCAACCGGTCGTTCCACTGTTTGGTCGATTTGCATATTAGCCTTTTATTATATAGGATTTTAGACCTAGATTCATAAATGAGATTAGTTTGCCCTGGTTTTCTTTTGTCTTATTCTTGTTTGTATTCAGGAATATTTTGAAGTTTATTACATATTATAGGGATTTGGTTAAACTTTCTAAGAATATGTCTGGGACTTTGCAATTTTTTCCTGAGGTAATTTGATCTATCTGGGTCAATTTAAGAAAGTTATATTTTCTAGTAAAATCATCCCTTTTGCTTAATTTTAAAGTTTGTTGTTATAAAATTGTACATAGTATTCCCTTATACATTAAAAAAAACTTTTTATTGATTTAAGAGAGGAAGGAAGAGTGAGAGAGATAGAAACATCAGTGATGAGAGAATCATTGATTGGCAGCCCCCTACATATCCCACACGGGGATCAAACCTGCAACCCGAGCATGTGCCCTGACCAGGAATCGAACTTTGACCTTCTCGTTCTTAGGTCAGTGCTCATACATTTTTTTTTTATCATTGATTGATTTTTAGAGAGAGATAGAAACATCTATTTGTTGTTCCACTTGTTTATGCATTCATTGATTGCTTCTTATATGTGCTCTGACTGGGGATCAAACCCACAACCTTGGTGTATTAGGACAAAGCTCTAACCTACTCAGCAACCTAGCGAAGTCTTCCCTCATAAGTTTTTATTCTCCTCTATTTCTGTAATTATGTTCTTTTTTGCTCCAAATGACTATTTGAATCTTTTTGTTGATTGATTTGTGAAAATTTACCTATTTAATGAGTCTTTTCAAGAAACCTAAGTACTTTTTTTTATCATTTTTTACTCACTTTTTCTTAATTTTTGCTTTTATCAGTTCTTTTTTCCTACGTTCTCCGGTTTCAATTTAATATTCTCTCTTTGGCTTCTTGAGTATAATACTTCATGTTTGTATTTGCTCACTTTCTAACTATTTGCTTTGAAGTGTTAGTTTTCTTTTTTGCACAACACTGTCTCTATCCCTCTGGTTTCAATTTGTAATGCTCTCACTGTCCCTTCTAAATGGTTTGTCATTACAGTTTTGATTTCCTTTTTAACCCAAAAGTTATTAAGAATAGTGGTTTTTTGCCTGTTTCCTAGTAGGTTTTGGTGGGGGTGTTGTTGTTGTTTTTTTTTTTAATTGATTTTTTTACAGAGAGGAAGGGAGAGAGATAGTCAGAAACATCGATGAGAGAGAAACATGGATCAGCCGCCTCCTGCACATCCCCCACTGGGGGTGTGCCCGCAACCCAGGTACATGCCCTTGACCGGAATCGAACCTGGGACCCTTCAGTCCGCAGGCCGACGCTCTATCCACTGAGCCAAACCGGTTTTGGCGGGGGTGTTGTTTTTGGTATTCTTTTGTTACTGACTTGTGGCCCTGTTATATTGTTATCAAGGAAATATGGCTTAAATAATGTCTGCATCTTAAATGTATGGAAATTTTATTATTAGCTGGGTAAATGGTCAGTTTTTATAAATTCCATGAGTAACAAGTGATAATAGGTTTCATTAAATCCTTTATATCTCATTTTTCACTATGTGATGAATGGGTAGATGAAAAGTATACCAAAATGTTCATGGTTGTTACCACTGAGTTATGGTACCATGAGGGTTTGTATTCTCTACTTTTGTGTATGTTTGAAATGTTTAATAATAAAAAAGTTTTTTAAAATCCTCCCTATCCTTATTTGTTTTTAGATTGCTTGATCTGTTGATTCCTGAAAAAGGTGTGTTAAAAGTTTCCAACTACATTTAATTATTTATCGAATACAGTTTATTTGATATGTTTTGAACCTAAGTAATCAGGTGCATACAATTTTACTATAGTTAAATTTCTTTTATCATAATAAAATATCTCTTTTCCCCATTTAATTTCCCATTTCTGTTTTTAATATTGCTGTACTAATTTTATTATTGGTAGCATATTTAGTGTATTTTTCCATATCTCTGTTTTCTTTCTTTCAGAACATTTTTCTTATGAAATAAAACTCACATATGGACTATAACACACACAGGAAAACACATAAAAATTTCCATAAATTTGAAAATGTAGACATTATTTAAGCCATATTTCTTGACCATATGCAGCAATTTCATTGTACAGTATTATACATTTTCCCCTCAATTTGGAAGTTATACATTCTTTTAAAAAGATACTTGCTTAGCTTTTAATTATGGAAATTTTCAAACATAAGCAAAAGTACAGTGATTGGCATAATTAAACCAATTTATGTATCAATCAGCTGAACCACATCGGCCAGGCAAAAAGAAAGAAGAAAGATATAAAGAAATAAAAATAAGTTTTTATTTAAAAACTTCTAAATAACTTGTTACAATTCTAAACAACTCATGGCTTAAAAAGGAAACCAGAACTGAAGTGACAAACCACTTAGAAAGGACCGTGGAGCATTGTATTTTAAAACCAATGGGATGTACCAAGAATGTGGAGCAAAGAAAACTTATGACATTAAATTCTACACATTAGAAAGCAAAAAAGTACAAAAATAAATTGAGTATTAAATTAAACCTAACTCATAACCTTTAGAATTAATCACTGAGTTGGATGGTAATCACTTCCTTGCTTTTCTTCTATCATTTTACCACCTGTGTATGCCTCCCTACACCCTATACTTTTGTTTTGGCTTGTTTTAAAACTTCATATAAAGAACATCATACAGTATTATACATTTATCTCTCTACTAGTTTGGAAGTTATACACTTTAAAAAAATATTTGCTTAATTATGGAAATTTTCAAACATAAAAGTACAGTGATTTGTATAATTAAACCAATTTAGGCATGAAATATATTTCTTAAATAATAAGACTGAAAGTCAGAATTATTCCTTTACTAATAAGCGTGATGTTAACTGGGTTTTTTATATATAGATACCCTTTATCAGGTTGAAGACGTTCCCTTCTATTTTTAGGTTGTGAGTATTTGTATCATGAAAGTGTTTATTCATGATACTGAATTTTGTCAAATGCTTTTTCTGTGCTCATTGAGATGATCCTTGGTTTTTGTACTTTTTTATATTAATGTGATGATTGGTTGATTTTCAGATGTTAAACTAAGCATGCATTCCTAGGATAAAACCCACTTGGGTCATTCTTTTTTATGTTGGTAGATTTTCTCATAGTTTTTTTGTTTGTTTGTTTTGGAGATTTTTGTGTATATATTCATGAGGGATACTGATCTGTAGTTTTTTTTCATGGCATTTTTGTCTGGTTTAAGTATTGGAATAATACCAGTCTCATAAAATGAGTCTGGAAGTACTTCCTCCTATTTTTTGGAGTTTAGCAGGGATTAGTATTCTTATTAAACTGTTGGGTGAACCCATTTAGGCATGTGCTTATCTTTATCTTTGTGGGAAGTTTTAAAATTTCTTTTATTCTCTTTATTTGTTATTGGTCTATTCCAATAATTTTCAACCTTTTTCATTTCATGGCACACATAAACTAATTACTAAAATTCTACGGCATACCAAAAGTATATTTCCTGCTGATCTGACAACAAAAAAAATAGGTATAATTTTGATTCGTTCCCACCGATGGCTGTTGTCATTTTAAAAAATGTTTTTATTAATTTGAGAGAGGAAGGGAGAGGAAGAGAGCGAAAACCATCAACACTGATTGGCTACCTCCTGCATGCCCCCTACTGGGGATCAAGCCCACAACCTAGGCATGTGCCCTAACGAGGAATCAAACTGGTGACCTCTTAGTGCATGGGGCGAAGCTCAACCCACTGAGAAACACTGGCTAGGGCAGCTGTTGTCATTTTTAAATTTGATAATCTAAGGGAAAAGAGGTCAGTGCCCCTGACTAAATACTGCGTGTTCTCAAAATTCTTATGACACCAGTTGAAAATCACTGGTCTAGCCCTGACTGGTTTGGCTCAGTGGATAGAGCATCGGCCTGTGGACTGAAAGGTCCCAGGTTCGATTCCCGTCAAGGGCATGTACTTTGGTTGCGGGCACATCCCCAGTGGGAGGTGTGCAGGAGGCAGCTGATTGATGTTTCTCTCTCATCGATGTTTCTAACTCTCTATCCCTCTCCCTTCCTCTCTGTAAAAAATCAATAAAATATATTTAAAAAAAATCACTGGTCTATCCAGATGTTCAGTTTTTTCTTGAGTCTATTTTGGTAGTTTGTGTCTAGGAAATTTGTCCATTTCATGTAAGTTATTTGTTAGCATACAGTTTTTCATATTACATTGTAATCCTTTTTATTTTATGGCTTCTAGAGCCTGTTCAGAATATTTTGGGGTTGTTGTTTTCCTTTCCTACATACAATTGGCTGTTCTTCTAGGAATATTTCACAGCTTTGGTCAGCTGACCCTTACTTAATTTGCATCACTTTTGTGACTCTATTCTTTTTAAAATATCTTTATATTACTTAAGTGGACTTGGGGTCATTGTAGGTCAGTGGAGATTCTCAGTCTGTAATGCCCACCACTTTGATTATTGAAAATTAACAGCCATTCTTTAATTTCTTTCTGCAGTTTTTGACTGTTTCAAGTACTTTTTTAAATATATTTTTTATTGATTTCAGAGAGGAAGGGAGAGGGAGAGATGGACACATCAATGATGAGAGAATCATTGATCAATTGCCTCATGCATGCCCCCTACTGGAGATCGAGCTCACAACCCGGAAATATGCCCCCACTGGGAATCGAACCTTAACTTCCTGGTTCATAGGTCGATGCTCAATCACTGAGCCACACAAGCTGGGCATTTCAAATAATTTTAAGGCAAAAATAATTGTTTCTTTTTAAACTGTTATGTTTAATTATTTTTATTATTTATTTGTATTTGCTTGATCTAGTTTCAGAAGCCCTACAGGTGGTAACTACTAGCCTAACTGCCAATACTACTGGTACTTCTACTACTTCCTCCACCTCTGTGGGTACAATTAAGCAAGAACCTCTCTACTCTACTTCATCTGCAGTAAATATCCTGGAAAATAAAGGCTCTACAGAACTCCCAAAGCCCATCGAACTTGATGGTCTTCCTTCAAACCAATTTGCAAAAGGACAAGACACTATTGCCATAGAAGGTTTTACAGATGATGAGAACACAGAAAGTGGAGGAGAAGGCCAATACAGAGAGCGTGATGAGTTTGTGGTAAAGATAGAAGACATAGAGACTTTTAAGGTGATGTGAATGTTCACAGGAATAAAGGCTATGTATAGTTTAGTGGGAATGTACTATTTTAGCTTTCATGATGACTTCAATAGTATGCACCTAGCTTGAAATTCATAAAGTTATATTCTTTATAATTGTTCAATAATCACTAGTATATACCAGATATTATATAAAGGAAAATAACTTAAAATAATTTTAACTTATATCTGAGTCTTATGTATTTCTGACTAGTCAATATGTTGCATTTATGTACTAGCGACTAGAGCAGTTTTGAAATGTTAATTTTTTTTTCAAGGCTCTCAACTAATTGTATACTATTAGGAGATTGAGAAAATGATTATTTAATTTTAAAGTTTAAAGAAAATAACAGTATAATGTAAAAGTAGAATTAGACTTATTTTTATAATTTCAAATTATAGAACCATGAGTATAACTACAATTTCACACAAGATAATTTTATCTATGTTTAAGAAAACTTATGTTTGAGTTTCTGGGTGTTTGCTTTGGTTTTATTTTTTAATTGGGGTGGAAAGGAATAGCATTAAAAAGTACAATGAGTACAAAATTCAAATTATCTATATTCCATTCACAATTAACTGCTGTTATTATTTCAGCATATTTGTTTATTGTCTTTTTAAATATGTATCTACTGTTATAAAATTGCATAAGTAATACATGAAAATATCATCAGAAAAATTTTCTAGTAGCTATACAAAAGGGTAATGGGCTACTTTGCATGTTGGTGTGCTCCCTCTATCTGGAAGAATTTAAGCAGAGACTGAATAGTCAGCTTATAAGAATTATTATAAAAATTCAGCTAAGGTAAAAGATAAAAGGTTGCGCTAGATAGGTTTTTAAGATTCCTTTTAGCTCTAAGATTCTATAAATCTAGAATATGTTGCTAGTGTTTGTAAATGTAATTAATTCTGCTTATTATAGGAGGCTTTAAAAACAGGAAAAGAACCGCCAGCTATTTGGAAAGTACAAAAAGCTTTATTACAGAAGTTTGTTCCTGAAATTCGAGTTGGGCAAAGAGAATTTGCTGCTACAAATAGTGTAAGCAAAATGTTTGTTTATATTAGCTTTCCTATTTTTTGACAGTGATCCTGTGGAAAATATAGAATGATTTAAATTTAAATATATTTTATATTGAGCATTTATAAAATAGCATAAAATTTGAATAACAGAGTACAGGCATACCTCGGAGATATTGCAGCTTCAGTTTCAGAACACCACAATAAAGTGAGTCATAATCTTTTTGCTGGTGGAAGGTAAGAGTTTAGATGGGCTCAGAGACACTTAATGTTGATTATCCCAATTTACCAGAAGATTTACAGAGGTTATTCTTTTGTACTTATGTACTTATTTAATAGCATTGAGTAAGTAAATATCTGATAATTAACCAAATGAAATTGCTTCTGTGTATGAGCCTGCAGTTAAGAATTAGCCTAGGATCGTTTTTATTGAGGGTGCAATTAGCCTGCCCAGAGCTGCATTTTGAAAAACGTGAAGGATGTTTATGTGACATTCAAGCTGACAAAGTAATATTCTATGTACAGAATGTATAATTATGTAATTCAAAGTGTTACTTTTTCCTTAGTACCTTGGATATTTTGGAGACGCAAAGAGTAAATACAAAAGGATATATGTGAAGTTCATTGAAAACACAAACAAAAAGGAATATGTCAGAGTGTGTTCCAAAAAGCCAAGAAGTAAGCCTTCACAAACTAGCAGGTATTTATTTTTTTATGTACTACTAGAGGCCCGATGCATGAAATTTGTGCATGGGTGTGGTCCTAGGCCTGGCTGATGATGGAAGCGCAAGCATCTGGCATGGAAGGGCAGGTCCCAGCTGACCTCTTAGCCTCCCGGGCCCCCATGCGCCCCCTCCGCCTGAGTCACGGCGCCCGAGTCCCCATGCAGAGATGCGATTAACGTGGCCGGACGCCATGGGCTAGGGCGCAGCCTGGGCCTCTGGGCTGCTCAGCGGCACCACGTGGAAGCCAGGCGGGCAGCACGCTCTCTCTTCCTCTCTGTAAAAAATCAATAAAATATATATTTTTTAAAAAAGAGTAGGCTTTCCTTCCCCTGGCTGCCGGCACTGGCTTCCCTCCGGCCACCGGCAGGCACCCGGGACCTGGGCTTCCCTCACAGTCCCAGCTTCTTCCAGAAAGTCAACCAGAAGGATGTCTGGTCTAATTAGCATATTACGCTTTTATTATTATAGATGTTTGTGTAGTAATTATTGGAGAGCTTATTATTGGTGATGTCTTGTACAAAGAATTACATCAAAGAGACAGATTTTCCCCCCATTATATACAAGTCTAAAAATTCAGCCCTAGGGAATAATTAGTTCTTTTTGAAGAAGTGAGAAGAAAAAGAATTTGTAGTTAAGGTTTGAGTTCAGCTTTTTGTGACATAGAGTAAGACAATCTTTTTTATATATAAAGTGAAAATGATAATGGTTTGTTGTGCTATTCAGACATTGTTCCACATGAATTAAAGGGCCCAAATCATGCCAGGAAAACATGCCCCAAACCATAACACTGCCCCCACCAGCTTGAAGGGTTGTACTCATGTATGTGGGGTGCATGCTTTCATGCTGTTTCCACCAAATTCTCACTCTGACCTCCACATGATGCAACTGGAAACATAATTCATCAGACCACATGACTTTTTTCCAATGCTCGACTGTCCAATTCTTGTGTTCCTGTGTGAATTGGAGACGCTTTATCTTGGTAACTGCAGACAGCAAAGGTGTTCGAACAGGCCTTCGGCTTCACATCCCATATGATGCAGTGTACGGCTAATTTGCCTACCAACGTCAGGTGGTCATAATAATCTGGCCACTCATCATAATATATATCCCACATTCAAAGGCTGT